TTATTCAAACTGTATGCTGAGAAGCTGGGTTCTATGAAGAAAAACATGGCATCAGGACTGGAGGAAGACTCATTAAGAACTTGCGATATGCAGATGATACAGCCTTGCTTGCTGAAAGTGAAGAGGACTTAAAACATTTACTGATGGAGATCAAATAGCACAGCCTTCAGTATGGATTACATCTCAATAAAGAAAACAAAAATCCTCACTATTGGACCAATAAATAACATTCTTATCAACAGAGGAAAGATTGAAGTTTTCAAGGACTGCATTCTTCTTGGATCAACTATCAACACTCATGGAAGCAGCAGTCAGGAAATTAAATGACGTATTGCATTAGGCAAATCTGCTGCACAAGACCTTTTGAAAGTGTTGAAGAGCAAAGATGTCAGCTTGAGGACTGAGGTGCGCCTGATCCAAGCCATTGCATTTTCAATAACTTCATATGCATGTGAAAACTGGGCAGTGAATAAGGAAGACCATAGAAGAATTGATGCTTTTGAGTTATGGTGTTAGAGGAGAATATTGAAAGGGCCAGGGGCTGCCAAAAGAACCAATAAATCTGTTTTGGAATAAGTGCAGCCAGAGTGCTCCTTGGAGGCCAACGTCACCAAACTTTGTCTCTCATGCTTTGGACATATTGTCAGGAGGGACCAGTCACTGGAGAAGGATATCATTTTTGGTAAGGTGGAGAGTCAGAGAAAACGAGGCAGACCCCCGATGAGATGAATTGACCAAGTGGCAGCATGGCAACAGTAGTGAGGTTGGTCCAGGTTCAGGTTTTCATTCTGCTGTGCATACAGTTGCTATGGGTCAGTACTGACTTGATGGCACCTAACAACAACACCAACAGTCACCATATAGAAATCCAATTGATTATGTGTTGATCTTATAGATTCCTTGATGTTTTCTATGTAGATAATCATCTTCTCTATAAACAGGCAATTTTACTTCTTTCAATCTAAATGTGGTGGGTTGTTTTTTTTCTTCTTGATATTGAATTGACTGGACCTTGCATCAGTATGTTAAACAAGAGTGGTGATAGTAGACATGCTTGCTATATTTCTGATCAGTGATGAAGAATATTTAGTCTTGACCATTGAATATGGTGTTAGATAAATGTTTTTACTAGATACTCTTTAGAAGTTTTAGGAAGTTCCTCTCTGTTCCTAATGTACTAAGCAATTTTATCATGAATGGGTGTGTTGAATTTTGATGAGTGCTTTTTCTGTGTAATTTGGTATGATCGTGTGATTTTTTTCAATGTTTTTTTCTTACTTTATCCTAGTACCAACCATTACTTCTAAACACACTCTACTTTACATCTGAGCTCAATAATCTATTTCAATAACTACATAGAACTCAGAGACAATACTCACAATTATGGGGTTTAATAAAAAAGTGAACAGGGTACAATTCAGTGTCTGGAATAAAGCAGGATGAAGCAGTTTTCCAGTGAGGGATTCCTCTTCTTTGTCATACTACAGGCCTGCCTCATTCTTGTCTTGGACATCTCGGTCATGTGGCCCCTTGACCTCTGCCTTGCTCAAACAAGTTTTACAATGCTCCTTTTGCCTGGCTGTAAATATCCAAGGGGTAGACAAAGCCTTTCTTTGTCTGTAGCATTTAGTTTTACTCAGGCCAGGGGCCAGGATGTCCACCACTGCCTCTGCTGCCTCCTCTGCTATTAATGCTTTTCCAGATAGGAATTTCATACTCAGCTCATGGTTCTTTTTTCTTCATGGTCCTAGGATCATCAGTTACTGCTTCTAAAATGACTCCTTTAAAACCTAGCAGGATGACGAAACTAACCACTCCTGATATTAGAGCTCCTTATTTGCTTGACTCCATCCAATCACTTTGATAGCGTAGTGGTTACAAATCGGGCTGCGAACCGCAAGTTCAGCAGTTAGAAACTACCAGCTGTTCAGTGCGAGAAAGATGAGCTTTTCTGCTCCCGTAAAGATATACAGCCTCAGAAACCCTGTATAGGGTCGCTATGAGTTGGAACCGACTCCACAGCGCATAACCACCACCAACCATCCACTCACTGGGGAACCTGGTGCTCATGTGTGATAAACACTGTACTATAAATCACAAGGTCAGGAATTTGAGACTACCAGCCACTCCACAGGAGAAAGATGAGGCTTTCTGCTCCCACAAAGATACACAGCCTCATGGAATACCTCATTTCTTAGGAGTTAAGAAGATTTTGGCATCCTGGTATGGTACTGTAAGATAAGCACTGGACTACAAGGTCAGTATGAACTACAAGATCAGCATTTCAAGTTCACCAGACGCTTAACAAAAACTCTATACAGGGTCACTGATTCAGAACCAACTCGATGACACTTAACAACAAAAAGGACTTTGTATAGAAAAGCCATACTAAGTAACTATGTGATGCTACAAGAATTATTTAAATAAGGCCCTTAATAGACTTTCCTTATAATATTTTTGTGGGGACATAATAGGCAATTAACGTAAGGTGATTAGCACAGTCCCTGGTACAAAGGACACTACTGTTGCTATTGTTATTGCTAGGTGCCATCGTGTTGGTTCTAACTCTTAGCTACCCTGTATAGCGTTTCCAAGGAGTAGCTCATGGGTTTGAACCCACTTTGCATTTAGCAATCCAGTGCTCATCCTATAATGTCAAATACTAATTATTGTTATTGCTCATAAATCCATATGACAAGTAGCTATTAAGAAACCATGTGTACCAGGAACTAAGGTCTTTGTACTCACAGAATTGACATTTTGATATATGAGAATGTAGTGATTTAATAAACAAGTAAATAAAGTAATATCAAATAGTAATAAATTCAACTATTCAATTATAATTAAATGAAATAATACTAATGATCAAATAATTATTAAAATGCAAATAATAGATTTGTTGTTGCTAAATACCATCGAATTTGTTCCGACTCATAATGACTCCATATAGGGCTTCTGAGGAGTCGCTGATGGGTTTGAACTGCTGACCAGTGGTTTACAGTTGAGTGCTGACCTATAGTACCACACCAGGAATAGATAGTAGAAACCTGTTTTAGATAAAGTTGTCACAGAAGGCCTCTGAGGAAAGACTTTGTAAGTTGAAGTCTGAATGACCAAACTTGCAAAGGAACATGGAAGAGCATTTGTAGCACAGGGAAAACTATAGCAAAGATCCCAGACATGGTGCCTATTGAGTACTAGGTAAGAAAAGAAGTTCATAATGACATCAAAGTTATAAATAAATAAGAACCAGGTTACATAGGACCAGGCAGAAAAATGGGTTATTCTAGGACTCAGGAAAGCCACTGCTCTTGTTGCTGTTAAGTGTCATAGAGTCATTTGGACTCAGCCACTCTAAATAAAGTTGCTGAACCACCAACCTTGAGGTTAGCAGACCTACAGTACTACACCGGGAATCCATTGTTGTTGCTGTTGTTGTGTGCTATTGAGTCGGTTCTGACTCATAGACAACCTGCATAGGATTTCTGAGGAGTGGCTTGTGGCTTTGAACTACTGATCTTGTGGTTAGTTGTTGTTGTTATGTGCCATGGAGTCAGTTCCGACTCATAGCAACCCTGTATAGGGTTTCCGAAGCTGTAAATCTTTACGGGAGCAGAAAGCCTAATCTTTCTCTCACAGAACCACTGGTAGTTTTGAACTGCTGACCCTGAGGATTGCAGCCTGATTTGTAACCATTATGCTACCTGTAATCCAGAGCTTATCCTACAGCACCTTAATCTAAGGAGTATACTCTACTACTCCTAATAAACTCCCTAAGTATAATTGTCTCTAGACGAACACAGTTCCACTTTAGAGTTTGACCTAAATTAACGACTCCTTAGGCTTAACAAAAATATCTACTAGTTTTTGTCTTAACAAATGTACATGGGGACAGCTCAATATACTATCTACCAGAGGACTGATTCAAAGGGTTTTGGGGAGTAACTATTGATTGTGCCTTCCTCTCTTTTACTTTACAAAGAAATGGCAAGCAGGGTAATACATTTTGAGACTTTCTTAGTATAGTGGTAGTCTTGGGTTCCATCCATGGAACAATATGTCTAGATGCCCATATTTCAAGGTTCTCTAAAGTTATTATCATAACAATATAATGCGAATGAAGACAGAAGGAAACTGTGTCCAGACATATAATAGTGAACAATGCAACACTGATCCTACATCTTCATCTGTTTTAACTTATATTCTAATCAATTGCATAGTGTCTTCCTTCATGGCAAACAATATCCTTCTATATGTCAATGCTTTTATAATCATTAACAGGAGATCCCTAGAATCCATATATACTCAGAAAGAAGAGCTTGATTTATATTTAAGCCTTTCTTTGTACATAATTTCATTCTATTGCCTTTGAATTAAAAATTTCCTAACTAATACAGTCTGTTCCAACATGAAATTTTCATGTTATGTAGGCGTATTTTTATTTGTAATTGTTTCCTTGCTAAAAAAATTATATATATTTTTTCCAGATGTGAATGAAGTTCACGCAGAACACATTCTGAACAGTGGTAAGCCTAAAACTATTGCTGAGATGCTTATAAATCAAAGAAGAAAATTCAAAACACATACTTCAGAATTTTTCTATTCCCACGTTTACTATTTCTCAAAAGTATATAACATCACTGAATGTTTGCTGTTGTTGTTAAGTGTCATTAAGTCAATTTCAATTCATAGTCATCCTGCATAGTGTTTCTGAGGAGTGGCTGGTGGGTTTGAACCACTGACCTTGAGTTTATCAGTCAGTGCTTATTCTATAACACCACACCAGGACTCCATACGTAATGTAATTCCCCTCAAGGGGAATAAATACTACTAATAATTGACAACGTTTTTGTGTACTTGTTGGAAATGCTTGTACTCCCGCAAACAAAGCATCACTGATGACTTCTTAGACAATTTCCTTTCATTTTATCTTATTTCATTCATTTTGTAAGTGTAGAAAATCATTCTTAAAATGATCGTGTGCCCATCAACTTTAATAGGTGAACTTTGCTATTTATGTTATAGTAATTTAATAACTGCAATATTAAACAAGTATGTTTAGAGATTAAAAACCATATTTTCTATAATGAGTAGTGTTTATTTAGATTTACACACTAGACATTATATATTCTATACATATTTACTGAGTGTACATCTACAGTGCACACTCAAAAATGTCAAATAGCACTAGTGTAAACTGTTATACATAGAAAACATGACCCAGGACAACATGAAAAAAAGTGTTAAAGTGAAATTGTGTTAAATGCACCAGGGAAGGAGTTATATTTATTTATTTAAATGATGTTCATTTTGTTTTTAGTGTGAATAATAATTACTCTATTTATGCAATATTAATTTTGGTTACATAAAATTAACCTTTTTTTAAAACAAGGCACACCTATAAATGATGGCATCCCTAATTATTTGCCAAACATACACATTTAGCCTTCTATAGAAATTAATGTCTGATCTCCTTCCTACAGGTTGCGGTGTAGGGAGGGAGTCCTCAGCCTCTTCCATGGAAAGGATTACCCCTGGTGATGAAGCAGGGAAAGCCTCTTGGCCATGGCAAGCCAGCCTACAAATAGGTGGTATCCATTTCTGTGGAGCATCTTTGATTAGCAAGGAGTGGCTCGTCACTGCTGCTCACTGCTTTGACAAGTAAGTCCTCACTCCAGACCAAGATCACCAATCACCTCTTTCTCTTGCCTTCACATACTATAATTCTTATCCCCTTTTCATTTCTTTCATGAACATCTTAACCAGTTTCTGTCAAGATAATTCTGTGTATCAGAATAGAACTGTGCTCCATAAGATTTTCAACGATTGATTTTTCAGAAGTAAATCTAGGCCAATCTTCTAAGACACCTCTGTGTGGATGTTCAGTTAGTAACTAAGCACACTGTTTAGCAACCTAGCATATAACTGTTTTACTACCAAGGGACTTCCATAAACATCTGTTGTGAGCTGTCAAATCAATTATGACTCACAGGGACCCATGTGACACAGTAGAATTGCTTCATAGGGTTTCCTAGGCTAACATCTTCACAGAAGGAAAAGGACAGGTGTTTTATCTTTCAAAGCAGCTGGATGGTTTCAAACTGCCAATCTTTGGTTAGCAAATGAGGGTTTTAAACTTTGTGTCACCAGGGCTCCTGATGAACATCTTTTTTGCTAAAAGTTGACAAGTCAGTTCTGACTCTGTATAGGGTTTCCAAAGAGCGACTGGTGGATTTGAACAACCGACCTTGGGGTTAGCAGTCCAGTGCATAATCCACAATGCCACACCAGGACTCAGTTATGAACATCTTAAGTCTCCTCAAGTGTATCCATGTTTACTCAGTAGCTTAGCAAGAAGCAACAATTACTGAGGAATAGAAATCCTGGTGAGGCATTGTAGAATAAATATTAGACTGGAAGGTCAGTTTGAACCATAAGGTTGGTGGTCCCAATTTACCAGCTGCTCCTCCAAAACCCTAAACAGAGTTGGTATGAGTCAAAACAGACTTGACAACACTTAACAACAACAGTAGAAAAAATTAGAGATTATCTTCAACTCTAATTGCAATTATATTCTCCAGAACTCTCCGGTTTAACTAAGAACAAACCTTTACTGTTAAAATTTGAACACAAAGTTTTCTTGAGATATAGTCTGGATTTTTTAAACTCTGCTGAGAGTATCCTAACTTGCAGAATTTATATCTGATTATCTTATATGAATATTTTTGGTGCTGTATTTGTTAGGGGAGGGGGATTTTTTTTTTTGAAGATTTGACACATGGAACAATTGGAAATAATTAAAAAGGTACAATAACTAATGAAATTCATATAAAATGAGAAAATATTATAGATAAAATGCTAAATAAAATAAAATAGAAGATAATAATGTATAAAGTATGACTCCAATTTGTCTATCCTTTTTCCTATAAATCTATCATCTATCTATTTAGCTATATATATACATATATACATATATATATGTGTGTGTGTGTTTATTTAACTATGCATGGGTATAAGTTTCTGTGTGTACATAAGTGAGTATAGCAAGGTTTATTTGTATGTATTTTTTTTTAACCTGTATTACTTTCATAGCAATTGTTTCCTTTTAAAAACACAAAGCTCCCTGCCAGATATAGTGATTTAAACTGTTTTAGCAAGAAGTTTTACTTTCAGCTAGAAGAAGTAAGGTAGTCCTAGAGGGGGAGCTTCAAATAAAATATGGGAGGATTCCAGTCAACCATCACCTCAAAATTAGTATGTCTCCCAACATATGCCCCATGCCCATGTAGAGTTCCAGGCAACTTTAGATCAGAAATGAACCAACTCTAATTTTTTTAATCTATGATCAGTAACAAAAACCCAAAACTGTGGATGGTTAGTTTTGGAACAACTCTAAACCCTCCACTGATGAGAAGAAATGTGCAGTTGATTATCATCCATGAAAACTATGCAGCCCATAAGCATGACGATGACATCGCTCTGGTGAAGCTCGCCACCCCAGTCACATTTTCTGATGATGTGCACAGAGTCTGTCTCCCGGATGCTACTTTTAAAGTCTTACCTAAGAGTTCAGTGTTTGTCACTGGATGGGGAGCTGTCAAAAAAAATGGTGAGTATCTCAGCAAAAGCAACCAGGCAAAACAAAATAAACATACCCTTCATTTGAGAAGATATGAAATAAGATACAAAATCAAAATAATAAATAGAAATGAGATTAAATCAATATGTCTTACGACAAATATGACAAAATAACAAACAAGAAAATCAGATATTATGAAGTATAAAAACAAAACAAAAACAGCATTAAGCAAGCAATAGAAAAGCGCTATTGCTTATGTTAAATATTATTAATTTTATATATATAATTTGTTGTTGTTGTAAAGTGTCATATCATTAATTCCTCATCTGATCATTAAATACTAAATGATACATTTCTATATGGAACAATTTAGCCTGAAACTTTATGAATTTGACAAATTTGACAATTATACATAAGGAATCCTAGTGACACAATGATTAAATGCTTGGCTGCTAATCAAAAACTTGGCAGTTTGAACCCACCAACACTTCCACAGAAGAGATTTGGTAATCTGCTCCCATAAAGATTAAATCCTAGAAAACCTTATTGGTAGTTCTACTCTGTCACATGAGAATGCTATGAGTCAGAATTGACTCAACTACACCCAATAACAGCAACAATTATACACAATAAACTGTAAAGATTAATCTTTAGATCCTGATCTAAATCTCTAGTTCTTCTCTAACTACGTCTTTTGATTGAATTTTTTTACATATGGATTAATCTGCCCTCAAATGCCTTCTTCTTGATCTGGGCCCCTATAATGAAATCACAGTCTTTCTTTACATATTTGTTCAAAGTATAGCCTTTATCTATGGAGTTTTTATCAAGTATTTTCTACAGAGATCTTTGCTTCTGTTTAATATGCACTGCAATATTCTGATGTTGGGTCCAAATTGCTGCACTCTTGTTATAATCTTAGCTGTGTTTTCCTCTTATATGCAGAGATCTGCATTATTCTAGATGCTCTGGTAATGGGTATGATAGGAAATGAAATCCTCTGGGGCTAACTGAAAGGTTAGAAGTTTGAGAACATCAAGAGATGCCTAAAGAGATTGTAATAATTGCAATGAAACTATGGAGTAAAGCCAATGTTCTCCCATGTAAACTATCACTCAGTTCACAATTAAAAAAAGGGGGGGGGAATGCTTCATTAAAGGCCTAGTGATCTACTTCTGAAAATCCAATCATTGAAATCCCTATGGGAAACAGTTCTACCCTGAAGCACCTGGGGTTACCATGAGTCAGAAATGACTCAATAGCAACTGATTTTTTGTTTTTGTTTTTGTTTTTTTCCCCTAGGGTCTAATGAAACTGAACTCCTCCTGTCAGAGGAGTCATTCAGGATGATTTGGGTTTTATTATGAATCACTCAATGCCCAATAGTGTCCAGATTACTGTGCATTTAGCTATCTAACATACTGTAAATCTCTTTGAAGTTAGATTATAAATGTGCAACACATCGAAGTAAGATTAAAAACTGATTGTAGGTTTTATTTTTCCTGCATCTTGTAACTCAGTTAAAGAACATTGATTTTCTTTTCCAAAGATTTATCCAACAATATCTGATTAGAAATGTTTTTTACCGGACAGTTTGTGATACAAAAACTTCCTACTCCTTCAAGAGTTTCTGTTCCAAATATGCAAAATATCTTGTTATATTGTTAAACAGGCAAAGTGGACTTTTTAAAATTGAAATTAAAGAACTATAAGCATTTGAAATTTAAAACTAAGCTTCCAAGACAAGTTAGCTAAAACAAATAAGAGCACACAGAAATAATAAGTAGATGAAATATTGTTTTTAAGTGTCCTTGAGTTGGTTCCGGCTCATAGAGGCCCTGTACAGGACTTCTGAGGAGCAGATGGTGGCTTTGAACTGCTGATCTTGCGGTTCACAGTCAAGTGCTGATCCTACAGTGCCACACCAGTAGTTGGAATAAAACTGATTAAAACCTTGAGAATGCCTAACATTTTAAATGCTAATTATAAAGAGCCCTGAATATGACCCAGACATCTATTTAAAGAATTTATATTTTTACGTTATATACATAAAGAAAAAAAGAGTGAGTAGGTTTCTTACTGGGACTATTTCAAACAAAATCAGAGATAGGGACAGAAAACTTAGTTCTTGAAAGTAATGATTGGGTTACAGAATCATTGTAGATAATCTTTCATGAGTGTAAAGAAGTTATATTTAGCTTTTTATTTTATTTTTTTAAGGTTTTTTATTGTGAATTGAGTGAAGGTTTACAGGGCAGATCATCAGTTTTACATTCAACAAATAATA